TGGTGAGGCGGGTTGATCGAGTATATCCGCACTCTTTTTGGATGCGAAGCGCTCTCTCTCTTGTTGTTAGACACAATGTTCCTGTTGGATTTTTTTAGATTGCGCGCCAAATTGCGGAATACACACAACTCTCTTTGTGTTTTTATTTTTGAGTGCTCTGTCTCGACTCTCGCATATATCCGTTCGTGGGAGCTGGGAGGATGCGGGCTGCCAGTCCCGTGCCCAGGGTCGCGCCAAAAATTCTTTTTGGCACGACACTGGGCACGGCCACGGGACTGGCGCGTGGTTCTAAAATTCTTTTTGGTGGTGCACCTGTGTTAGTGCCAGTGCGCGCCAGTATAAATAAAATAAATACAACGGACACGCCAAACGAGGGGTGGGAGAAGGACAGGGTCCCCACCTGCACAAGCAGGATCTTGTAGGACGATCAGGGACACAGGGGAACGGGAGCGGGGAGCGCATCGCGACACGGAGGGGGGCTGGGCAGGGGGTTCACCCTCACGACAGGAATCCCATCTCTCGTATAGGACAGGTTGCACCCGGCGGCACGGGGGCAAGCGCGGGCCTCCTACTGGTTGCGCTCTCCTAGTTCTCCTGCTCCTGACAAGGGACAGCGACAGGCTCGCAGCACGGTGGACTCCCTATCCACTGGCGATCTCTCTCGACTAGCGACCTTCCTCCGACGTCTCACCGGCAGTCTCTTCTACCACAGGCAGACTGACACGTGGGTGGCAGTGGCGGTGATAGGAGTCTCCCACTCTGTGGGCCTCGCTAGAAGTGCGACCCCTGCGCGTGTCCTCGCCCTTGAGGAAGGGGAAGGGGCTGTGTGTCTGTGCATGTGTACAACATGTGTGTGTGTGTGTGTGTGTGTGTGTGTGTGTGTGTGTGTGTGTGTGTGTGTGTGTGTGTGTGTGTGTGTGCTCGCTCGCTCGCTCGCTCGCTCGCTCGCTCCCTCGCTCGATCGCGCGCGCGCTGCGCGAGCCGCCCTGTCCCGCGCCCACGATCAACTCAAAATTCTTTTTTGGGTACCCGAGTCCGGCCGACTAGGGTGCCGACACCGCCATCGATCGCCGCCAACAACCGGCGTGGCCAAAGCGATCTCCGCCGCATGCAGCGTAGCCGAAGAGCACTCTTCACGGCCAGCCGGCTCCTGCCGTCCCGAGAGTCGCGGTGCCTTTGCTCTGTCGCCAGCCCGCGCGCCGCTTACGATGCGGCGGTGGCCGCCGGCGACCTGGTTGAGGCGTGCTCGCCGCGCTGCTCCCCGCTGCTCCCCGCCCGCTGCCGAAGCTCACCGCGTGCACATTGACCTCGCGTGCTCCAGGACGCTGCCCAGCTGAAAGCGATCGAGCGCCTGGACAGGCTGCACCGAGATATGCTCGCGTGGAAGTGCGCTCGCCAAGGCCACTCACTGCCACCGCCGTCGCGTCTGCGTCACCCACCCGCCTGCTCGCAGACCGCCGCCGCCGCCGCTGCCGCCTCCGCCGCCAAAGGAGAGCGAGTGGAAGGGTCCCACCGTCGACGCCTACGGCGAGCCGACCGGCGGCGGCAGCTTTTACACGGGGGTGAAGAACGAGTCCCCGGGGAGCGGCAAGGGCGGGCTGTGGTCGCGCCTGATGTCGATGGTGGGCGGCGGCGGCAGCAGCAACGACGGCGAGCCGGACCTAGCGAGCGGCGTTGCGGCGCCCAAAGGCATATACATGCACGGTAGCTCTGGGTGTGGAAAGTCGATTCTCATGGACCGCTTCCTCGCGCCGTCGATCCTCCCTCCCGAGGGGGCTTCGGAGGCGTGGGTGCGCCGCGTGCATCTGCACGAGTTTCTGATGGAGGCGCGCCGGCGAGCGCGCACGCTGCTCCGCGTGGCGTGGCGTGAGAGGTTGCCGTGCCCCGCTCCAGGTGCACCAGCGGGCCCACAAGCTACCTACCTACCTACCTACCTACCTACCTACCTACCTACCTGCTCCAGGTGCACCATCGGGCCCACAAGCTAACCCTAACCCTAACCCTAACCCTAACCCTAACCCTAACCGCTCCAGGTGCACCAGCGGGCCCACAAGCTAACCCTAACCCTAACCCTAACCCTAACCCTAACCCTAACCGCTCCAGGTGCACCAGCGGGCCCACAAGCTGCGTCAGCAGATGCCCGAACTGGGCGACCCCGTCCCGTACCTCGCCCACGAGCTGAACCTTCGGCGAAGCTTCACGGAACCTCCCTACAGGCGACCCCGTCCCGTACCTCGCCCACGAGCTGAACCTTCGGCGAAGCTTCACGGAACCTCCCTACAGGCGACCCCGTCCCGTACCTCGCCTACGAGCTCTCGTGCGAGACACA